TTTTCCCAGCCAACCCTGAAAAATTTCCAGAAAAAAAAAATTTTCTTTAAATTTTCTTTAAACTTTTAACAAAATTTAAAAAAATTCAACAAACAACAAAATAAGACAACATGGCAATTTAATTAGGGGAAAGGGCATTGGGCATAAGTTTGAAGGAACCAAGGGGGGAAGCCAGGCTAACTTAGCTTGGTTGGGGGGGGGGGGCGCTGCATTATATTACCCTACCCTACCCTTATTTTTAAGCCCCCTTCTTGACAATTATTGCACAGCTCAGCTAGAAATAGTTCAGGCAAAAGAACATTTCATTTCAACTTCGTTTAAACTGTGAAATACATGTCATGCATGCATGTGCGCGAGCTACTATTTAGACGCGTACGCTCCTCTAGCTATTTAACGTCCAATGAAAATTGCATAGTTTAATGGTTTTCTGTACACTACAGAAGGGTTAAACTCTCAAAACGTTTGCTTTTTTATAGTCTTTCATGACACTTTTTGATATTTTGCCGTAACTTTTACTGTATCATTCTACAAATTGCGCTGCATTAGTAATATATCCTTACTGTATACTCATTACCTCACCGCGTAATATTTAGTTATGGAAAAAGTCCGCGACTGCTGAGGCAGTAGGCATGCAACGAGGATAACACTAAGGTTGTCAACCGCCGCCAAGGGAAGTGGGTGGGTCGCGAAAATTAACCGTGCAGTGGTCCCGGAGTACCGATCATTAAAATGACCACGTTTTAGGCAATTCTTGCAAGACCACTTAGACAAACAGTGGCGAGGGAAAGCCGGATCTTGTCGTAGATCAGGATCAGCAATATAACATAACACTGAAAATTGAAGGCAAGGCTGATCGGACAACTAAGGTTTACAAATTTATTTGCCCAATATTTCGACTAGACAAAACTAGTCTTCATCAGGGGCTGGAAAAGTAGCCTGTTCCAGGCTCCGAGATAGTGGTGAAAAGCTAAGTGAGAATAGAATAAACGGTTACAGTAAATAAAATAATACAAAAATAAAATGTGTTCGGGATGAACCAGGGATGAAATTAAATCTATTTACATATATTTTTATTTAGTAAAATCCAACTAGTGGTCTATTATCAATGCTGCGTTCTGATTGGTTGAGCTACTACTGGGCTATATGTTATAGCCCACTAATAGCGAAAAGCGCGGGCTTTTTGGCGGCAAAAAAGGATTAAAGTCTAGCTTTAACTAGCTAAAATTTTTTCATTCTCGATATTTTTGACCAACTAGTTGGGTTTTACTAAAACAATTATTCCTCTCGCCCTCATAGCCTCTGAGTCAATAGCCCATTCGGCCTTCGGCCTCATGGGCTATTGACTCAGAGTGCATTCGGGCTCGAGGAATAATTGTTAAGTAGCCTCTTTGTACAAGTCTTTGTCTATTGTATTCCTCAACCAATTAAATTTTATTTTTTATTTTTGTATTATTTTGTATACTGTAACTGTTTATTCTATTCTCACTTCGCTTTTCCAGCCCCTGATGAAGACTAGCTTTGTCTAGTCGAAATATTGGGCAAATAAATTTGTAAACATTAGTGGTCCGATCAGCCTTGAGTCACTTTTACCGTAGGCAGCACGGTAACATTTATAGTCAATGGGGTGCAAAGCAGAACAACCGCTACATGCATACACTATTTAAATGGAATGCGCTCAGTTTATACAAAATTGCTTCGAATCAGTAAGAATAGCAGATTTAATCTCGTACGCAGAGTTCTCGACTTCTTTGGTCAGCAGTCTCCTGGTGACCACCCGCGGGCCAAAAAGGCCTCGAATTCAGAGTTAGAAAGGGAGCAGAATAGACTGAAGGCGGTTACCAAAAGTCAGAACAGGCCGGCCAGATCGTTCATTCACTATGGTTCCCAGAGCTGCGATCTTTTTGGTCAGTGCCTCTCAATCTGCGGCGCTGACCAAAAGGATCGCAGCTCTGGGAACGAGAATGCGAAATAGGCTTTTATAGAGAGTTTTCAGTAGAAACCTAACACACCAGTTCCAGCTTAATTCCCGAATCGGTAATCTTGTCACCACGGACTTGCATTAACGAATACACGTTCAACCAATGCAGCGAAACCAACCTTATCTTGCGTACTGTTGACTCTGTATTAACGGACACCTGCCTTTCTTTACTCCCTTTATTTGACTCTATAAGACGGACATCTCTCTAAGACAGACTCTTAGTACCGGTCCTAAAGGTGTCTCTCTTAGGCGAAGAGAGTTGACTGCACACCTCCCTGCTTGTCCAATAGAGGAGTTGTTTAGTAGTTTTTCGATATTGATCCAAGAATCTCGTTAATTGGTATGGACGCTTCGACTTCACAAACTGCAGCGCACAGAATTTTAGAAATCTAATTTGGTTGGACTGGGGGAACTTTTTTACCAATGGGCTGGATCAAGAGAGAATGAACTATTTTTCTATTGGCTGGATTTTGTTTGAGGGGAAGGTATGGCCTACCATTTCAAATGCAATCCCGTATCCAGTCTTCAGGCTTTTTGGTCAGCGGCCCAAAAGGCCGGAAGACTCTGGGTAGGAGAGAGGAGATTGGTTCTAATCGAAAGCGCTGAGTCTCCAAGTTTGTTGGTCAGCGGTTGGTCTCTAGGTAACCAAGATGAAATAACGGACGAAGACATCGATACATGCCTCCTTTTGTTTATACAACATTATTTGATAGACCAGACCTAAGAGTCTTCCTCGTTCCGGGTATGCAACCAACACAAAGCCTCAATTTTTGAACAAAATCAAGAGTGACTTTTAGAGCAGATGGCAAATACAACTTTATAACCGTGATTTCAGCTTTATAGTATTCGTTATTGGTCTCGATTATTATAAATTTTTAAGAGCAGTCCATGGTTAAAATAGCTAAGAAGGTGATCGTTTCAAGGGCATGCGACAACCTATTATTATCCGGGGGAGTACGCTCCCGCACCCCCGTAGGATGGTACGCCTTCGGCGGACATTTATCCGAACCCCCCTCCACTAAATTTTGGATCCGCCCCAGTAGTCTTCACTGTATGCTGTAATGAAACTGTTCACCACAAATGGTGTTTAGATAAAAGCGTTGTGCAAAATTAACTTGCTCTACCAATTTTTACTATCACGCTCGTAAAGAACCGTCTTCGTAACTGCCTTTCATGTCACCCAAAAGCAGCAAACTATCACAAATACTGTACAAATATGTCGACCAAATTTGGGTTTGAATTTACGGAATTTTGTATTTAAGTTAAATTCTCCAATCGCGTGGCGTTGCGTGTTCGTTGCGTGCTTCCAGCCTGACTGCACGCTTCAGATAACCCTTTTAAAATACTCTTTGATATTTTGTTAACGGAAGTCAAATCAGTTTAGCCATAAATAGACGTTACTTCTATCCTCGTCCTCTTGCACGATTACGCTGTTGTCACAAGATTGCACTGAAGGAAATTAGCAAAAAATGAGAAATTTTTTGGAGAATGTTGTACTTTCTCACGCGGTCCCGTTTCTTGGCATTACTTGCATCAGCACCTAGTTTTTTAAATGATGAAATTGGGGATGATCAGCGTGAATTTTTCTAAGTATTTCGGTATAAGGTTATTGAGAAAGAACTGGTGTACGATATTATCTTCCTGTAAAACAAGTTTGTCTACTTGGCACGTCTTTGATAAGCGCTGTTGAGAGTAGTGGCCTCAAAGGCCTATTTTGTTACCATAAACTAACATTCACATACTGGGTTTCTTGAACACAAATATTTGATCAGATCAACTTCCTGTCTCAGTTCAATCTTCGTCAACAATAATCTCTATCATTTTTCGCGTACTGCGGAAGACAAAATAAAACCTCCAATCATTTGGAAACCATAAACATCCGCTACAGAATTTTCCACTCATGCGTACAGCTGAGAGCGTTTGTTGAGATAAAAAAATAATGAAGTTTGCGTATTAAAAAGGAAATCGTTTGTGGTTTGTTTTTCTTCTTCCCTTTCCTTTTCTATATATATTATACATTTTTTTTGTCCCTCGTTAGATTATACTATTCGGGTCACAGTATTGAACAAACTGTTGTAATCTGCGTGGGTTGTATTGAAGATAGCCGCGCCGAACTTCATATTAAACTGGTCAAAGTTGAAGGTAGCCTGAACTTGCGTTATTCGACTGAATATCAAGAAATTGAAAGTTTTAAAGTAAACCCGTACAAGTTAAATATTGTTTTAAACGCAGAAACCTCGCTTCAGTGATTTCCCCTCCTTAATTTCCTGCACAGAATGACTGTTGTTTTACGCTAAATCGTGTTTCCCAAAACAATTTTATTTAGCTGGTCTATTTACATATAAAACAAAATTATCTTGGAAGATTTTTGCTAGATGCATATATTCAGATATTCCTAAATGCGATTACCGCATTTGGCGTATGCAAATTTGCATACATTTATGTATGCGACCACAAATTGCGAATTCACTCCATTGTAAAATTTTGACCGCGAATTATATATATTCAGTCCACGACTATACAGGAAAATGCATAGGGTCTCATTAAACAGCAAATGAAAATTGGAGTGTCTTAGCGGGAAAGGTATTTATCCTGAGTACCTCTAGAATTACCTTATGTGGCCAGGAATGAGGAAGTCTTAAGTTGACAGATAGCTTGTTGTGTTGGTTTTTTTTTTTTTTTTTTTTTTTCAAAACCTTAGCCCTCAGTTTTTTTTAACAAATTTGTGCCTTTTTTTTGTCGAACACCTCCTTTTTTGATGTTCCTATTTCCTTTTTGATTTTTAGTCCTTTTTCTCTAAATTATCAACTGCATAAACACATTGAAATATACAATGTTAATTTTATATAAGAAAAGCGAATAAAAAAAAAATATATCAATTTTAGTTTTTGTTAGCTGTAAAGTTATTTATCATTACTAAATATAAATAAAATTTTTGTGGCGTAGAAAAAAGAATTTTAAAGTTTATAGGTAGTTTTTTGTGTTGGTTTTTTTTTTTTTTTTTTTTCGCAAATCCTAGACCCTAGTTATAGTTCAAAGATTCGGGGCTGTCTCTTGTCAGAACCCCTCTTCTATGAAGTTCCCTTTTCCTTATTGAATTTTGATGCTGTATTCTAGAATCTACAACTGGATAAACGACTTGTAAATGAGGCGGTTGAACTGGTGACGCTAGCTCCTGATTATGTTCGCTTCCCGGAAAATTCGGCGAAGAGCCAGCAGTAGGGAAAGTTGGTAATTTTACTGTTAGGTCTTCCCCTTTCTCGCGATCGCGTCCAAGCGCAATCTCTTTGTCCTTTTTTTCCCGCTCGAAAGCATTTTTATACAAGTCTACCTCACGCGTAAGCGATGATATCAAATCCTGACAATCAGAGATTTGATCAGTCAGAACGGAAACTTTAGTCTCCGCTTTTTCTCTGTCGTCCCTCTCCTTCTGAAAATCAGTTTCGTAAATATTCAGCTGTTCTATCATAAGGTCCAAATCAGACGATGAGCTGTCTTTACCGAGCGCTTCCGCCAACCGTAGTATCTCTGATTCCAGAACGGTTTTGTGTTCCTCTAAAGACTTAATCTGGGTTCGTGATTCGCACAAACTCTCCTCAAGTTTGCGAATTTTTCTCTCCAGTTCTTCGGTGCTGTTTTCGCTCATATTAATGAGACAGTCAGTAGTGGCGAAAGAATCTAACCCGCTTCCAACGTTCTGTTGTGCTCCAAGTTTTCTTCTTAAATCATAACATTCTTGCCTCAACTTCCTTGATACCTTTCGCTCGTTTTCCAGCTCCGTGTTCAATCGCCGTTTGTCCTTTAGTAAAACCAGCACATATGCATTTGTTCTCTCCAATTCATGCTCGACTCGCTTTTCTCTCTCACCCTTATGTATCTCCATTCGCCGGTTTTACTCGTCCGCTTTTGCGATCTCATCTAACTCGTCTTATATGAACCTCTGCCTGTCATTTGTCCGCAATCGATCACTTTTATATTTATAACAGCGGAAGTCAAATGTCACGTGACAGGATGACAGTGTGTGTTTGTATATGAACTGCGTATATTTTGTTTGATATTGCTCGACTCGAATAAATCTTTTTAAAGAAATAAAGCAAATTATTGTATGTTAAATTACTTTGCATGCGTTTGTAGTTCGCGGTCGACGCTGGAAGACATGTTTCAGCTTTCTCTGAGTCAGCATCGCGTAAGTAACAATTGTGTTGTGATAAGACGGAAACTCGAGTTTCTTTCAGTGTTCCTGGAAGTCAGCTTTCTTATATATTTATGCATGATAAAATCTAATTTACAGAGTCCTTACACACAGCGTAATGGCTTTTATTAAAAACTCACGTACGTTTTTAAAGAGTAGTGTAAAACCATGTTTTCTGGCAGGATAAAATGCAAACTGAATCTCGCTGAATTATGCTAGTACACCATGAGCCACCGCAAAACATAATTAAAATGATATTTCTGTAGGAAAGCTAACTAGACGAAGTAAGATCACCTGTAACGACAGTTTGGTATGACTGTTATTTTTTCTGTTTTGTTTTCTGTTATTTTTAGATTGTCTTGTTGATCAACGGTCAGGTCTGCCGCAGTCATGCACCCTCACTCACGCCTCTCGCACAAAAACCATGATACATTCGAAAGAGCAAAGTAAAATCAAAAGTTCAACACGACGTTATCTCTAGGGTCATTGCTACTTGTGGAAAGCAACTTATGTCGTTATGAAAGCAAACTATTTCAGTTTTTAACTAGTTTAGCTACAAATCATGTGGTTTTGAATAAGCTTTCAATCTGGAACACGGTCATGCGAAACCTTTTAATTTCACACAATTGAACTTTATTTCATTCCTTAATTTATACGTTTATTTTTATCGTAAAAGTTAAAAGGGACCAAATTGTGTGACACTGCGCCTTTTATAGATTTTTCTCAGTTAATCGCTTAAACGAGCTTTCGCAGATATCGAGGTTCTTTTCCATATAGTTTACTCTTAGAAGGGCCAAGAATGTCGTTCGAAAAACCGAGGACTAGCAGTAATATATAGGTTTGCTGTAGTGAGGGTGCTTTGTAGCTATTGGAAATATTTATTTTACACTATGAGCTGAGGTTACTGGCCTGGCCTGGTTGTTGTACAGACTTTCTCTTCCTTACAAGACCTTTTTGCACAATTATACGAGCAAGTTATTTTTCTCTTGCTTTTCTATGCATAAGCCAGGAGTAAGTTTTTGTTCGATATGCATACTGCATCTTTAGCAACCTATGCCTGCTCAAGGAGAGAATTAAGTGTGTGACAAACCATTTCAAAGACGGCGTTGGAAGATAGTAACGGGCTCGATCGGGCAAAGAAAATTTACCGGTCCACTCTAGGATTCGGATTTGGTCTATCTGGGGAGCTCACTACTAATTACTGTGTGATGCTAAAAACCTTGCGAGTGAGGAGGTCTTTAATTCAAAAAAATTTACTGTGGTAACTTCAAAGTTCCGTCTGCATGGAAGAGGCTGAAAACGACGGAAGTTTCAAGATACAGTGTCACAGCATGACGCGTGACTGTTTCAGCCTTGCTCGATGAAGAAGTAGAGGTAGACTGCAAAACAGTCCGTATTTTTGCGTATTCAAGTACGCGCGAGCAGTCAAACAAAAGGTCTGGAATGAGGCTGAAAACAGAGAGCGAGACTGGGGAGTAAGACTATTACGCCACGCTTTACCGATTTCTTTACTGATTTTGAGAAAAAAACCGACTGTTTTGCAGTCTAAAGTAGAGGTTGATTAGTTGGTTTACAAGCCACACTCTGACTCGATTCCAGGGCTTGACCGTTCGAATAACAGCATAATAGGTTTCTTAAATACACCAAGCATGGTAAACTGCCATCTTGGTATCTTCGAATCCTGCAACCTAATCACACCCTGTGGAAAGTTTAAGACGGAACTTATGGTGTTAGTTCAGTCGGGCGATTTATTGAGCAGACTTGAAAAATTTATTTCTAAACACAAAGACTGAAAAGTCCCCTCCCTTACACCCACCCCTCCCACGTACGGGGAAATTAAAACGACGATAACTAATAAAATTAATTCGTGTGGCTAACCGAGTCATGACCGTGTTCAGTTGTTTTGCTTATTTTCCTCAACTACGATTTTTAAATGTTTAAACCGCACAAATTCTTTTAAAAACCCCTCAGTTTGTCAACAAAATCATTGCACATGATAATGATGTCTGGTTTTCAAACATTGTTAGTCGGCGAGTTCATTTGCGTCATCCGTTTTATACTCATGGCTAGCTAGTCAGCCCTCCATGCTCCTTTGAGGTTCAGTTCTTTTGATGGTCTGCAGTTCGAAATAAATTTGATTTTCAGTTAAGAGTTATTTTCAGTTTAAGTGTTAGACCAATTTCGATATATTAAAATTCATACTTGGCTCTGATGTTAAAACAAAAGAAATCATCTTAAGGCTCAGCAATCATAAATAATACATTTCTTTTGCGTTTTATTCCCTCAAGCCTCCGAGCCAAGTTTGAATTTTAACGATATCGACATTGGTCTATTCATTGCCGGAGTACTCTAGTCCAGTGATTTAAGGCCAGTCTCGGTTTCTGATGGAAGAGGATAACCAAAGCATTTGAAAAAGACTGTCCTCTCGGCAGAAGATTCCCAAGGTCATCCTCGGCGTCTTGGTAACGAGCCCCATCATGTATTGTTGTTCCAAATGTTCCTCTGTTGCTCGATTTAGCTATAATTTCCTTCTTCCTCTAAGAACTTAAGCGTGCCTTCTTTCACGATGAAGGCAATTTTATATGAGCTTTTTTGGTTGCTCTCCTAAAATAACACATAATTTACTTATACATTAGTCCCATCTCGAAGCCCAGCTTTTACGACTTTGCTTGTCCTATTTTAAGAGTGGCAGAAAAAAGATATACTGATTAATACCCATGTCTGCCTGTGATGGCAGGATGTGAGTCGGTCATTACTGACGATCTTATGACTACTTTAAAAAGCGTTAAGCCATTTCTTGCCAGCTGAAAAGATAGTGCTAATCGGATATTCAAAGAAATTATCTCTTTTATTCCTCGTTTGTCTCCTCCCTTGTCCTCCCCGCTGGCCGATTTTAATCGACACACAGTTTTTTGACAGAATAATTGCCAGCAGCACACGATATGTAGTGAAATGTCTGCGGCTAATGTTTTATAAGGAAAACATAACATTTTTCCTGGTACTTAATTGTACTTAATTCAAAGGTGATTTTTCAGCACCTATGTCCGCATTAAGTGATAACTTCCGATGTATTTTGGGAGCTCGGATATGACCTACACTTTTCTTAGTTTATGTTTCTTGTCTTTTTTTTTTTTCCTTCTCAAAACGATATCATCAATTTCTTTCAGAGGTTTCTTTTTCTTTCTTTTTTCTTTTTTGATTTAAGGCTGTAGTGAAATAGCCTTTATCTTGGATACCACTGCGTCAGTGTCGTTCGACATTCAACCAGGTTCCTTTTCTTCTTAATAACGCCATCATCCACAAACACTGCCCGCGAGGTTAGGGGAGGGAAGACATGAAAATCCCCCGTTTCAGTTCGCTCTTTTCTGTCCTTTTGGCCTTTGGAAGATCCCTGATACTCAAGCTGGCTGTTCGTTGTGTTTGTTTCATGATCGCGTCGTGAAAACTGTGGCCATGATGGAATTGACAAATAAATCGTGATGGTCCAGTTTAAAAGTTTACTTGGACAGCATCATGTTTTATTTATTTATGCGTACGTGAGTCCTTACGAAGCCTCCACAGTTCTAGCTTCCCCCGTCAGACATTCTTAAGGGTGCGTCACGCGTTCCTGCGTCTGCGGGGGAGGCTACCACTGTTCTAGTCTCCTTCGCAGTCGTTTTTAGGCTTGTCACGCAACGTTGCGTTACGAACCTAAAAACGATTGCGAAGGAGACTACCACTGTTGGCGCACAAAAATATATTATTGGGCTATGTACACTTCAATTTTTTTTGCATGATTTTGCCTTTTTTTTTTTCGCTGCGGGTTGGTTTTGGTCATTCTCTTTCACACTTGGAGTCTTGCTTTCCTACGACAGAATCGATGGAAAGAAATTTTCACGCTCATTTTACTACTTGTGCTCCTCCAACAAGAACTAAAGAGCTGTCTACTACTGGAACATCATGTTGCTCTGCTAAGTTTTCTGTCTTCCCATTACATGCGAACGTTTTACGAGCTAGTCAGCAGTTACTGACAAAAAACAAAACGACGTTATTTTCCATTATCAGCCTAGTACCACATGGCCCAATATATACCGTATTTATTCGATTAAACGCCGCCGCGTTTCAATCACAATCTGCGACTGCAGCGCTGTGCAGTCAGCAGTTTAAGTAAGTGCTCAGCTGCCGCGCCTCTTTGTCTCGCAGAAGCCACCCGCCATTTTGTTTTGTTGTGATGCGAGGTTAAGATCTGCACAGAAATCGTAGTCCATCAGATGTCTACTGTCTCTTTAAACGGCCTAAACGGTAAGAACAGTTCAAGAAGTATTGTACGAAACATTTTTTTCTTTTTTTTTTTTTTAATTGTAGATTAGTTATAGCGAGTATTCTTTTGTCACACAGATTGTTATCTCGGGAATCAGGCTTGTAAGTTACATATTAAGCGAACGGCATGTGCTGTACGTCTACCTAACCTGTGAATAAACAAGTTTTGGCCTTAACGTTATTTGTTCGCAACTCTTCTCGTTATGTGTGACGGGAGGCCAGCCGCACAATCGATTGTTCGATGAAGAAACAGCCTATTAGCACTGCTGTTTTTAGAATTTAGTGAATTATTGAAATGAATTACAAAACCATATTGTTCAAAACTTTAGCGAGTTATCTGATTGTAAGCATATCTGTCATTGTGATCGGTTCATTTTTTATATTTCCCTCTG